TTACTAAAAAGCAAAAAAACAAACATAATAATATTAGCATAAGAAGAAGAGAAAAGAAGGAACATATTTTGATCAAATGTTACCTACAATTCAGCTCAACAAAAAATGTTAATAATTATTGGGTCATGAACTTACACGTGATCCATGAGCTTTAGCTGATCAAAGATAAATTGAAACTGCAAAGAAGAAGAGGATGAAAGAAGATGGTAAAGATGAGGACTCCTCAACTCAAAAGTGTGGAAATTGAGTGTCGCCTTCTCAGACCCTTTGCCTCATTGTTATTGCGGTTGATGTGAAAATCCCTTATTTCTCTCCCTTTATTCTTATCAGTTTCAATCAATTCCCCGTATTTTTCTCTCTCGCACACTCACAAACACATTTCTAATTCCCACGAAATATCACATTTACGTGTGGTTTTTTTGAATTAAGATTTACTGATGGCATCATAAATTAGGGATGCTTGGGGTCGAGTTAGTATTGAAATCTTCTTTCCTTTTATTTCTTTTGATAGATATCAATTGCAGTGTTATGTAAACAAGAATATGAAAAAGTCTATTTTTTCCAACTTTTTAAAAATACTATTAGTACGTCTTAGAAAGTCCTTATAAATTTTAAATGAATACACCCTCGTAGTCTGTGTGATACACGGACAATAATATTAAATTGCATGTATATTAAAGCCATGAAAAAAACATCAATTAGTATAAAAATAATTTTAAATATTGATATTTTTGTATGGTACGTACGTAATAATTTAAAATATGATTTATATGTTTATCTCACCCATTATAAACTAGTTGTTTAGAATTAAAATAATGACAATTTAACATATTCAAATATTATCAATAGATAATACACACATATTCTCTCTTTACATTCCCTAACTCATATGTTATAACAATAATTAAATTCTAAAATAAATTATACTAAAATTAAAATATTGTGAAAAATATTATAACCAACAACTAATTGAAAAAGACTGTAATATATTATATTGAAGTTAAATAGTTACATCAATATTATTTTATTTTATTTTTTCTAATTTATAATAATGTATATTATAAGTACTTTAAATTTTCTTTCTAATCTAATAATTTATACCACAGTTCCACACTAACTGATTTATCATTATAATTTATAACAAACATTATAAATATTTTTTTCTAAGCTAAAAATTTACATACATTGGTGTTCGATAGATCATTTGTTAGTTTATCATTATAATTTATAATAATATATAATACAAAATATTTATTTTCTATAAGTTAACAATTTACATAGATAGTTCGACATACGATCCATTGGTTTGTCATCATAATTTGTAACAATATATATTATAAATGTTTAGATTTTTCTTTCGAAATTAATAATTTGCATGTCAGGTCGACATAATTGGTTTCAATTTTTATTTTCTTTAATTATATTTGTATTTTTATCATGCATACTCATATAATATTTTCTACATACAAAACCTATTTGATAGTCGCATTTTTGTAGACATGTTGTAGAAAATCACATTATATGGTTGGTTGCCAAAAGAATGAGAAATTACAGTGATTTATAACTAATATAAAGAATTGAATTTTATTGTTATAATTATCACAAAATTATGTTCAATTTCGATACCACTTTATTTATATAAAAAGTCATGCTATTAATCGAATTGCATGATTGCAACAGGTAGGCATAATTTAATTTTTTTTCCAAATATAGTAAAGTAATTTTTAATATATTTCTTTTAATAGTAAGTCGATCAATTTAATTACAAAGTCAAAAATTACTATTTTAAATTATTCCAACAACTTCATTCAATATATATAGATTTTGATTTTTGAAAAAGTTATGCTAAAGTTGAAAACTTATGAAAAATATTATAAACAACACTTAATTGAAAACGATTGTCTATACATTATTTTGAATTTAAAAATTTATTAATTTTTAATTACATCAATATTATTTTTGTTATAATTTATAGTAATGTATATTATAATCCGGCCAAACTGTAGTTGTTTCCTAAATAGTTGGAATGAAAATCTTGCCTACTTGTCTAAAATTCTTAAGGATTCAAATGTGTTTTTTTCGAAATTACCACAAATGGTAAGTCAAATATTTAATTTTTTTAGTCAAACTTACTATAATGGTATATTTCCAACAACCTTTTTATATAGATATATATAGATAGATATAGATATAGATATAGATATACATATACATATAGATATAAATATAGATTTCAAAGTTTTAGAATTGTGATAATTTCAACTTGTTAAAATTTTTCAAAAGTTAACTTAAGGCAGGACACGTGTCAATACATCATTTGTGAATAACTAAAGATGACTCTATAAGCCGAGCCATCCGATGCCTCCATAGCAAAACCGTATACTTTGACGATAATTCTATGGAGCCATCGGATGCCCCATTATGGAGTCATTCATAACTTTTATAGACTGACATGTGTCCAATGCGTATTTAATGCAAGACACATGTCAATACACCATTTGTGAATAACTATGGATGACTCCATGAGCCGAGTCATCCGATGGCTCCATAGCAAAACCGTATACTTTAAATCATGGTTATTGTTGTAGCAAATAACATTTTTACTTGTACTCTCACGTGCGGCAGTTTTTTCTAGGGATGTAAATAGGTCGGGTCGGGTACGTGTTTTGGCAAACCCAAACTCAACCCGCATATAATTTACCCTACCCAAACTCGACCCATTACCTGATTAGTGACTTCGGATTCGGGTTGGATTTTACCTAGCGGGTTAGTGGGTTTTCGTCGGATAAACAGTTAATCCGAGTTTTTAAATTTGGGGTTTACACGACCCATCTCGTTTCATATGAAAAAATAAAATAAAATAATTTTACAATTAATTATAATATAACAAATAAATTATTAACTAAGTTTGACAATAAAAGCTACAAAAAAATTATATTATTTTTTTAATAAATAATGAGATATAATTTATTTTTTATAGTCTATTTAATAATATAACATTTAAAAATTAAGTATTTAATTTTTTTTATTGTACAATAACAAAAAATGATAATAAAATCATAAGAAATAAAATAAAATTTAAATATTAATCAAAATTATAATAAATAATCTAATTTATAATATTAATAACACATGACAATTTTTATATTTATAATAATTTTATAAATATATATATTTTTATATATATATATATATATAATTCAATAGTTTTGGGTGAACGTGTAGGGTAATCGGGTTTTCTTGCTATACCCGTATCCGACCCAACTCGAAATTCAGGTAATATAATTAACTCGAAACCCGACCATCTCGAGTTTACTCGACCCGAAAATGCGGATAAATCGCGAGTAACCCGACTCTACGGGTTTTATTGACATCTTTTTTTCTTTAATTAACGTGGCTCTCGTGCTCAACTGCTCGGTCAGCAATATCCGGGGCTGTAACTTTAAACACGTGGCAGTATGCTCTATCCCCGCTTGAATAATATAATAATAATTAAAAATAAAATCCCCTTCGTGTCAATCCGCCCACCAAAACCTCAAATTCTGGCTCCAAATGCTTTTCCAGAGTCCAAGGCAACCTATCAATCAAGACGACACCTTGCTTATTGCAGCTCTGATTTACCATCAGCCATGAATTCTCTGATTCGGAAGCTCTGGGTATCCGTCACCCACCGATCATGTTCCCCCTCGGGCTCGGGCCGCGTATCCAGCCCGAATTTGTTTTCGGAGCCCGCCTCGTCGACCGGGGAGTTCGACCGGATTCCGTTCGACATATTAATGCAGATTGTCAAAATCCTCGGCCCGAAAGAGTCGGCGAAGCTGAGAGCGGTGTGTAGATCGTGGAAGTTTCTGTTGTCGGATAATCGGCTCTGGATTTATTTTCTGCAGAATCAGCCGGAGCCTTGGGACTCTGTATTCTTCGCTGAAACTCACTTACGATCCGGTTATCCTCTGCAGTACGATTATTTCTTAAATGACGGATAAATAAAAAAAAAATGCTTTTATAGGCTTTTCATTTCTTGTTGGGTATTATTATGCAGCTGTACATGTTTTATTACGTGATTCTCGCAGTTGCGCTGTTTATGAAATTATATGTGCTGAGTATGTGATGAATCAGGATAGGGCTGTTGTTGCAGGGTGGGATTTGTAGTTGATTAAGGAACCTAATTATTTATCTTCAATTTTGAACTCCATTGAAGATAACTGTGACTGAAGCTGGGTACTTAATAAATGTGGAATTTAAGCTTTACATAAGTAATAATGCCTTTCCTTTTACCATCCAAGACAATGAATTGAGTGGTTCTCTTAGTGAGTGAATTGTGTATGTGACAGTTGAGGTTGACTGATAATTTTTTGTATCAACTCATTCTGCTGTGGGTCATTTTTATTTATTTGTTAGCCCTCGATGAAAGTATGTCTTTATATCCTTCAAATGCAGATGTATCTTTAAATTGATTGTTGCTAATATCTTTACCTGTATTATTTCATGCTTTGTTCTGAGTATATGCTCAGATTTATTGGATATTTAGCTACTGTTATGGATATTTAGCTACTGTTAGTAAGGACAATAATTTTAGATGTTTATTGTATTTGCAGAGCTTTTCCTGCTCAAATGCATGACCTGTCCTTTATGCAAATATTCGGTCAGCGCGAGGAAGTTCCTGGAGCTCTTATAATTGATGGTATATTATCAACAGTTGGCACTTGGACCACATCTTTCTGATTGCCAACAATCTCTATTATACCCACTTTCCAAAATAGATCAAATATCAAAATCTTGTCTTCAGATGTTAGTTATTCTAGGATTTTGTCTGAATTGACTTCGGCTATCACTTTCTGAAGTGTCACCCACCTTCCTTTGTTGCATTTCTGTAACCTAGTTAGGCTTAAAATGATTTCTAATCCCTATATACACATCCAAGTAAATGGAAGATCGAAGTTCTATATGACGAAAATGTATCTTTTCATAGCTATAAAACTATAGGAGTTTCAATTGGTATAGTGCTCTATCCTGCACATAATAACCAACATCATTTTCAAATAACCGTAGGTGGATCTGGTTATTGTAAATATGGATGGAGCAAGTATTCCTCTCCATCAGGACGATCAGCCACATTTCTGGTTAGCTCTCTTCATATATTTACAATATAATGCTTCCCAGGAGGAACTCGCAGTTTGGAGCTCCATATCCTTTTACATTAAAGAATTCAACTGTTTATACTATTTTGCAGGAATTTGGAAATATTGAGTCCCCAATGTCTTCTAAACTTAGAAATTTCTATGCAACAATCTGTTCCAGGTTTATAAGTTCTCCTATTCATAACATCTGTTCCTTATTTATGTAATGAAGAGGTTGGCCCTTGCATTTTCTTGAATTTTTTAATATTGGTTACCATACAGAATATGTGTGATATTTTGCATTCATGGTGCTAAACACTTATGCTTCATAACCTTTTAGTTGGCAATTGGTAACAAATCATTTTTGCCTGTCCAGTCAAGATTTATCCCATTGAAGTTGAAAATGAAACAATTTTTTTTATTTTATTTCTTGCAAAAATACTATTTGTTAACGTATATATGGTATTAGTGTATCAAGTAGTTGATTATTGTAATCTCTAGATTCGGCTCGTTGATTTATATTCCTCCTTTAATTTGCTCCTAGCCTAGTACATATATCATTGCACATTGTAATCTAGAGTATGATGAATAGAATCAGTTAATTCCCCTTTACATGGTATCAGAACCCGCGGGTTCTTGAACCTTTATTTTTTCCTCTTTCGGAGCCTATTCTCTGCTCGTTGGTGGTGCTCCATCTCGGGGAGTTTTGGGTCTAACCTTCTTTGCAGATCAACCCGCCGGTCAAATCTTGTGTGCGTGTGTGTCCCATGCACCAATAATTCTACGTCCACCAATCTTAGGTGCCGATGCGTGTGAGCGTATAAGTGATCGGAATATTCACCGGCCTCAGGATTCGTAGGGGTGTTGGTTTCCAGTGTTACTTTTCTGTCTCGAGAAGATTTGTTCCCTATGGAGGGGATATTTTGGGACATTTGGGTTCTGTTTCATTTTTAGAAATTGGGAATTGCGTTTCATTTTCAGAAACTGGGAATAGGAGTGAGCAACGGTTTTGGACAAAAAGCCAAAAAATCTAACCTATAAAAATAACCAACCTTCACTGTAATATAGAAAAAAACCCATCCTATGTTCATCTACTTCTAATACGGTCATCATCACGATTGAGGAGTATGAGCGACTTACTATGACTGTGAACCCTCAAACACCACCTACCACGTACTGCCGTTTTTGCCGACATAGGTAATTCAATCAACTACATGTCTGTATCTAAAGAATCTAAATGGGTCATTTATTCTGGCGCTTCAGACCATGGCGGGTAATTCAACCATTCTCTACATTTCATTCACATACACATACTACTACTATCACTATTGTTGATGGATCCACCACTGGGTTCTTGGCTCTACCAACCTTACCCTCTTCTCAGAACAATCTACTAAGGTTACCTAATTTTTCCTTCAATCTAATCTGTCAGTAGGCTTACAAAATCATTGAAATGTAGCATCTTATTTTTCACTACTATTATGTTTTACATCATCTTCCGAAGAAGCAGATAATTGGTAGATATGTGAATCTGATGGCCTTTATATTTTGGATTTTACCAACCAAAATCACTAATTTGTACCTCTTCGGCACTTGAGATACACAGTCGCCTAGGTCATCATTCTCTTCAGAATTTAAAGAAACTATGTCCTAATTTTCACTCTGTTTTGTGAGTCGGGTGAGTTTGCTAAACTTTCTCGTACTCCATTTGGTCCTAGTATAAACAAGCGAGTTGCATATCTATTCACATGAGTTCATTCTGATGTCTGGGGTCTTTGTTTTATAGAATCTAAATATGGATGTCGCTATTCTGTTATGTTCATTGATTTGTTTTTCGGGTGACTTGGGTTTATTTCATGGATTATTATGAGGTTTCAACATTTCTCCTCCTTTTGTGTTGAAGTTAAAAATCAGTACCCACTCAAAATTTCTTCTCCTTTTGTGTTGAAGTTAAAAATCAGTACCCATTACGATTCAAACATTACATAGTAATAATGCTAAAAATGAAATTTTTTCACTACTTTTCAGTCTTGTTTGACAATGACATTCTGCATGAAACTTCTTGTGTTGACATATCAACTTACAATGAGGTAGCTAAACATAAGAATGGACACCTTCGTGAGGTTGTTCGGGCATTATTGTTTCATTTGATGGTTCTGAACTATTTCGGACTGATGCTGTGTCTACGACTTGTTCTCTCGTTAATCGCATGCCACCTTTTTTTAAGTTAATGTTGTCCCCATCTTTATCATTTTTTTTTTCAAATAAGAACGTTTTCCCGTAGAACCAAACTATTTTTGTAGTACATGCTTTGTACGAGATACTAGACCTCATTTCACTAAATTAGATTCAAATATCTCAAATGCGTTATCCTGTGTACTCTCTCGTGCAAATGGGATATTGGTGTTTTCCCCCTGTACTTAATTGCTATATTGGGTCTAGATATGTTACCTTTAATGAAACTCTTCCGCTTTTCTTACTTTTGTGTTCGTGTCTTGTTGCCAGGAGGATGATGATATTTTAGTATATTCTGTTCCAGTACTTAAGTCTCCTCTTTCCAAGTCTTCTATTCTATCTAGCCTCACATTCGTCCCCCATTATTCAAGTTTATACTCAATGCCCACATTCAACTTCGGAGATCCTGACGGAGTCAGATTCATGTTCTTCAGTGGAAATCCCTACACCTAGTCCACCAACCTTTGAAACACCTACAACCTATGACCTTCCCATTGCTCTTCGGAAAGTAAACATTCATGTACATCTCATTGCATCTGTTGTTTCCTATAATCATTTGTCTGCCCTTTCATTTTCATTTATTGTATAGATTCCATCTTTGTTCCTAAGATTGTAGGTGAAGCTTTTGCCCATTCTAGTTGGCTTACTGCCATGATTGAAGAAATGAATGCTATTAATCATAATGTTGCATGGACTTTAGTCGATTTACCTATTGGCAACAAGGCGATTTGGTGCAGGTGGGTATTCACGGTGTGAATCCAGATGACTCTTTTGCCTAAGACTTGTTTGGTTGTTAAAGGGCTTGTTCAGATGTATGGCACTGATTATTCCGTAGAGAAATTTACTGATGTCCAAATACTCATACTATTCATATCCCTGGCTGCCAATTTTGATTGGCTCTTTTATTAGATTGATATTAAAAATGCTTTTCTCCATAGCTTCCTTCAAGATATGACCATATGGACCAAGAAATTGGGTTTGTTGCTCAGGGGCAGCACGGGAATATATGCTGACTTCATAAATCCTTATATGGGTTAAAGCAAAGTCCTCGAACTTGGTTTCATAGATTCAATCAAATCATTTAGAATTATGGTTTAACAAGATGCAAATCCGATGATTTCGTGTTCTATCAAGCACTACTCATGGATTCATTTGTCATTGTGCATGTTGATGGAATCGCAAGAAATGATAGTGATGGGATTTCAGAATTGAAGTCTTTTCTTCATGCACATTTTTAGACAAGTTTGAAATCTTGAAATAGTTTCGAGGGGCAGAGATATAATGAGAAGCAAGAAAGAAATCTTCCCGTGTCTTTGTGTTGACAACCAAGCAGCGTTACATATTGGTATTTCGTAAAAGAACCAAACATATCTAGATAAATTGTCACTTTGTTCGTGACAGTAGAAGAAGGGTTCATTTCTACTGGATATGTTAAATTAAATCAGAAGATTTAGCTCGAAGTAGATTAGGGTTGTTGATTTATTTTCCTTCTTTATCTGCTCAATAGACTAGTATATATATCATTGTACATTGTACTCTTGAGTATGAAGAATAGGATCAGTTAATTCCTCTTTACACTAATTATTTTATCGCAGTTTTTCTTTCCAATCCTACTAATGCAATCAAAAAATAAAAATTAATAATTATTATATATTTTCCAACAAAAGTACTATTCACCCTAATTGCCAATCATCAATACATATTTTATTATTTTAATATTACATCAGCTATAATCATTTAGTTTTATCATATTTTCATAAACAATCTCATATTTATATTAGTTTTTTAAAGAACATTTCACCTTTGCATCTCAATTTTAGAACGGGATTTTTTTTTTTTGAAAATTTTCTTGATCCAATTGCACCTTTATTGTCTTGATTGGTTTCTTTGTTCACGGAAATTTAAGTATGGGCTCCATGGCATGCAGGATGCAGTTGAAAACATTGACGCAACCAATTGTCGTATCATTACCACTCTGTCATTCTGATGGTTAGCTTCTTTGATTTGTCATTTGAATTTTTTAATTTTTGTCTTCAGAAACTCTCTTGGCTAGCTTTTCAGCTAAAAGCTCTTTGATTCCTTTAATTTTCTGGAATCATGTGTTTTCTTGAACTTTGCGCCTGGAAGAATGACACAAAATTGAGAAAGGTTTTATATTTTTTAAATTTTTTTTATCCAAAATAATGATGTTTTTGAAATTCACCGAAACCCTTCTCTTTCACTTCTGTTATTTCTGTTGTCAGTTTAGTTGGTCAGCCATGCTATTGTCTACCTAATGTTTTCCATTGATGTTTGCACCATATCAAATTAGATACCGAGTCTGCAAAAAGTTCTCGAAGACAACTAAAAGATGCGATCTACTCAACATTATTCGAGATGAATGTTCCTGCTGTATGTGCCATCAATCAGGTAATTTTCTTGGATAAAACCGTCCAACCATATTTCAAACGCCTAATTTGAACATGGAAGTATCATCTTGAACATATACTATTCTATTCATTGTTTGAGTTGGTCTTTATTTAAATTTTGTTGACGGGCAAGTGGTGGCCAAGAAGGAGACTTTCCGGTATTTGGGATCGATGCTACAAAAGGGTGGCGGCATTGATGCTGATGTTAGGCATAGAATTGCAGCCGGTTGGTTGAAATGGCGTCAGGCGTCTGGCGTTCTCTGTGATAAGAGGGTGTCACAAAGGCTAAAAGGTAAGTTCTATAGGACGGCGATTCGCCCGGCGATGCTATACGGTGCTGAATGTTGGCCTACAAAAAGGCAACATGTCCAACAACTAAGTGTAGCAGAGATGCTTATGTTGCGTTGGTTCTGCGGGCACACAAGCAGGGATAAAATTCGGAATGAGGATATTCGAGATAGGGTCGGGGTGGTTCCAATTGAGGAGAAATTGGTTCAACATCGGCTGAGGTGGTTCGGACGTGGTTCGGACATGTACAACGGAGGCCTCCTGATGCACCGGTGCGTAGGGGAGTTCTACAGCGGGTCGAGAATGTTAAGAGAGGTAGAGGTCGGCCTAAACTCACTTGGGAAGAGTCGGTTAAGAGAGACCTTAAAGATTGGAATATCTCCAAGGATTTAGCGGTGGATAGGAGCGCTTGGAGGCTCGCTATCAACGTGCCAAAACCGTGACTTTTGCTCCTTTCTCTCTCTCTCGTTTTTTTTTTTTTTTTTTTTTTCGATCTCTTCCTTTCGGTTCGAGTCTTTTTGTGTTTCTCTTGGGTTTCATCTCTAGGCTACCCCGACTTGCTTGGGACTAAAGGCTATGTTGTTGTTGTTTGTAAGTGGGTTGTCATAAACTTTGATTCCTACTAGACATTGTGTAACACCGTCTGGACTGCTCGTTTGACACCTTACAATAACATGGCTTGTATATTGTTTGCATATTTGTGGATGGAATTGTATAGAACCAACACAAAAGACCATATGCTTTAACACGTAACTTGTCCTCCCCCAACCCAAATCCAGATGCAGAAAGAGTAAAGAAGCAATGCATCAGAAACGTTACTCTGATGCTTTTGTGGACATATAGTCAAGGTTATTTATTGGATATTGCATGGCAGAAGCCCACCACTTGTATGCCCTCATAAGACATTTGCTTGGGCTGGGTTTTTCCATACCTTTTCAGTTCACATATCCATTCATTGTTGGTCATGTTTTTTTTCCTTTCTTTTTTTCTTTTCCCTTTTATGAGAGACGAAAATAGAATTGTGTTTTATTGACATCTCCAGCTAGCATAATTTCTGTGTGAAAAATAATCATTGCTCCATTCAAGGTCACACGTCATGTTAACTGAAGCTCAATTTTCATCAGCACTTTGTACTGTGGGATTGAACTGCCAGATTTCTACACAAGTTTCTACATATACATGTGAAATAGAGAGTTTGTTTCCAGCTTATTGCTTTTATTGTTAACATGCAGGAAAAATTGGACAATGTTTGGCACCATAATTGTATATCGTGTTTGATCAATTGTTGTCAAATTGAGTTTCTTGACATAACTTTACTCTTATTCAAAATGTAGGCTACTTTGGCTTTGTTTGCAGCAAGACGTACATCAGGAATTGTAGTGAATGTTGGTTTCAATCAGACCTCTGTTGTTCCAAGTAAAGTCTATCTATTTATTATTAGCATTTCAGGAGTATCTAACATGTGTGTTAGACTTCTTTAAATATTCTCTAGAAAATTGGTCTAACCAGCCGTTCACTGAGGACCTAAATCTTATCCTTTTTTTTTTTTTTGCCCTCCCACAGTTTTACATGGAAAAGTGATGCATAAGGTGGGTGTAGAAGTTGTGGGAATGGGAGCACTGAAACTGACGGGATTTCTTCGGGACCGGTTGCAACAGAACAATATACAATTTGATTCCCTTTATACTGTCCGCACATTGAAAGAGGTAGTGTAACTGGTAAATCTTGTATAGAGAATTTTGTTTGTCTACTAAGGATGGTACTTGCATAAGCCTTGGCAGCATGCTTTATACTGCTAATGTTTCTTACAAACTCGTCTTTGGTGGCTTTGATTCTTGGAAGCACTTAGGATTATATTTTCTGAATTTTTTTGGTACTTCCAGAACCTATGCTATGTCGCCCTTGACTACGAAGCTGAACTATCGAAAGATACAGAAGCTTCTTATGCAGTCTCCTCGGACACTCAGTTTACGCTTTCAAAAGAACGGTTTCAAACTGGAGAGATATTGTTCCAGCCTCGCATGGCAGGAATGTATGCATACAATCTCCCTGTAATGGATATTTTTAATATTAATTTAAATATTCCCTGATGTACTCTCTTTCTGTGTGGAGGCCTGCTGGTGTTTATTTGGGATAAGTGCATTGAAAGGGATAAACTGTAAATTGGATGAACTTTGTTAGGCCAAAGTTGATAATTTGTTTTGCTCGTCTTTTACGGCAGATTTGTATTTTGTGATACTTCCACAGGCAGGCGATGGGGCTTCATCAGGCAGTGGGACTTTGCATGGATCACTGCCATGATGCTGAACTAAGCGGTGACAATAACTGGTATAAAACTGTAGTTTTGGCCGGTGGCACCGCATGCTTGCCAGGATTAGCAGGTTTAATCTCTCTCTCTCTCTCTCTCTCTCTCTCAAGTCGATGCACATTTGATTTGTCATTTGAGGACATTTTTTTTTTTTCCTTTTGTTGTTTCCAGGAAGACTTGAAAAAGAACTGTATGGACTTCTACCAGCCTCAATGTCCGGCGGAATTCGAGTTATTCCTCCACCTTATGGAACAGATTCTGCATGGTTTGGGGCAAAGCTTGTCAGCAATGTAAGTTGTTCTCATCGCAAACTCTTCTTTTCTATCTATTTAAGCGGTGTTATTGATTATAAATTGTGCTGCTGGCGTAGAAGAAATAGTGTGATCGACTCCTTCTCTGTGGCTGTGGCCCTGTTTGGCGGTTAGCGATAGCTGATTGTTAGTTTATAGCATATAGCTGATTACATTAGCTAGTTTGACTAGCCTATTTTTTTTTTTTTCTCCCAAGGAGAAAATATGAAATTTCTTAAAAGATCTGATCAATTCAGAAGCATTTTCATCGGCTTTAGATATCGTGCCTTTTGAAGAACTGTTCAGAATCTAAACTTATTTGGTGGAAAATTTTCAGATCCATTTTAGTGGGTAGGATTTGCTTTAGTCCGCACTTCTCTTTAATTTTTCCAAATGTTTTTGTTTGATACAGCTGAGCACTTTCCCCTCATGGTGCATGACCAAAAAGCAGTTTCGGCTCTTGTCCAAGCGCAAGCTCACGTGGTGAATCTTCCCTTCAAGTTGCTACAGAAACTGCACAAAGCCAATGAAATGAATATATATTTGCCCCATAATTATACGGTCGGTTGGTTCTGTTCTTTTCTTTTATCTTCTTTTCCCTTTTTCAAAGTAATTTGAGTTAATCTTCGTTTGCAAGATTTAAGCTCAGTTGTCCGCTGTTGTCTAATAAAGGCTCTCATCATGTATATCAACTCTGTAAACTGGTCATATACGGACGCCATATACAGAAATACAAGGCATTTGTTGATATTTGCCAGTGTTCGCCATTTCCAGCACTGAAGGATAAATAAATCATATACAGATCATCTGTTTTTCTGTGTTTCTAACCAGATCAACCCTTACTCACCTTTAATTCAAAGAAGGGGTGGTTGTTTTCTATCAGTGTTCATATTCCTATTTACGTTGAGATACATGAAAAGGTCACTAGTAGTGATCTTAAGGCAGGGCAAGAGGGTTAAACTTCCATGCGTAGTCGAATTGCTTTATTAATATAAAACTANATTCATTGAACCCTATGTGCCCACTTATGTTCATTAGCAAAACCTTACATACATGTCCCCATTACAATACTATATATACTTTCATTAGCAAAACCTTACATACATGTCCCCATTACAATACAATATATACTGCTGTACTTGAAAGTCAGAAATATCAACGGAGGCATGCCCGCCATATGCTCGAACCACACCAAAAACAGCAAAATAAATAAAGATACAATCATGGAAGAGTAAATGTTCGAACCACACCAAAAACAGCAAAATAAATAAAGATACAATCATGGAAGAGTAAAAAACGCATACGTAACTCGTCTCACGTGTGAGTAACACAAACAGTGTATACACAGGGAAACACCATAAATCCCCAGTTCACCAATAAATTTAATGAATTTCCACAAAATAATAAAACAAAGAGAAAAAAGATTCCAAAGGATTTAATTTCAACCCCCCTCACATAAATTGCATCAACAAAAAGGTGACCAAAATTAGCATCCACAAACCACCAACTATCTTGTGACCAGCATTATTATTATTATTATTATTAGTGGTGGTGGACCTGTTAGAGCCAGGTGGCGGAGCAGGACACTCGAGCCCCTGTCGGCTATCCCGGCATTCGTTGGCAAAAAGGCCTGGAGGATACCTCCCATGGAGGTTAATGTAGCTGAACATGGATGAAGCACAATCATTGCTCAAGTCATTCAGCACATCTGCAAATGGACATGCAAACTCCTTAAACGCGTCGCAACATGGCTTTTTTGCATATTGGGGTCCCTTGCATTGGTTGATCAATGTAGTGTAGTTCTGAAACTCGAAGCTCACAGGGCATTCTGTTCA